TCAACATGACCTTCTATGTTCCCATATCAACATGACCTTCTGTGTTCCCACATCAATATGGGTTCCTATGTACCATTATCAACATGGGCTCCTTTGTTCCTTTATCAACATGACCTTCTGTGTTCCCACATCAATATGGGTTCCTATGTACCATTATCAACATGGGCTCCTATGTTCCTTTATCAACATGACCTTCTGTGTTCCCATATCATAATGGGCTCCTATGTTCCCATATTAACATGGGCTCCTACGTTCCCATATCAACATGGGCTCCTATGTTCCCATATCAACATGACCTTCTATGTTCCCATATAATCATGGGCTCCTATGTCCCCATATTAACATGGGCTCCTATGTTCCCATATCATCATGGGCTCCTATGTTCCCATATCATCATGGCCTCCTATGTTCCCATATAATCATGGGCTCCTACGTTCCCATATCAACATGGGCTCCTATGTTCCCATATCAACATGACCTTCTATGTTCCCATATAATCATGGGCTCCTATGTCCCCATATTAACATGGGCTCCTATGTTCCCATATCATCATGGGCTCCTATGTTCCCATATCATCATGGCCTCCTATGTCCCCATATCATCATGGGCTCCTATGTTCCCATATCATCATGGCCTCCTATGTCCCCATATTAACATGGGCTCCTATGTTCCTTTATCAACATGACCTTCTGTGTTCCCATATCATCATGGGCTCCTATGTTCCCATATCATCATGGCCTCCTATGTCCCCATATCAACATGGGCTCCTATGTTCCTTTATCAACATGACCTTCTGTGTTCCCATATCATAATGGGCTCCTATGTTCCCATATTAACATGGGCTCCTACGTTCCCATATCAACATGGGCTCCTATGTTCCCATATCAACATGACCTTCTATGTTCCCATATAATCATGGGCTCCTATGTCCCCATATTAACATGGGCTCCTATGTTCCCATATCATCATGGGCTCCTATGTTCCCATATCATCATGGCCTCCTATGTTCCCATATAATCATGGGCTCCTATGTTCCCATATCATCATGGGCTCCTATGTTCCCATATCATCATGGCCTCCTATGTCCCCATATCAACATGGGCTCCTATGTTCCTTTATCAACATGACCTTCTGTGTTCCCATATCATAATGGGCTCCTATGTTCCCATATTAACATGGGCTCCTACGTTCCCATATCAACATGGGCTCCTATGTTCCCATATCAACATGACCTTCTATGTTCCCATATAATCATGGGCTCCTATGTCCCCATATTAACATGGGCTCCTATGTTCCCATATCATCATGGGCTCCTATGTTCCCATATCATCATGGCCTCCTATGTTCCCATATAATCATGGGCTCCTACGTTCCCATATCAACATGGGCTCCTATGTTCCCATATCAACATGACCTTCTATGTTCCCATATAATCATGGGCTCCTATGTCCCCATATTAACATGGGCTCCTATGTTCCCATATCATCATGGGCTCCTATGTTCCCATATCATCATGGCCTCCTATGTCCCCATATCATCATGGGCTCCTATGTTCCCATATCATCATGGGCTCCTATGTTCCCATATCATCATGGCCTCCTATGTCCCCATATCATCATGGGCTCCTATGTTCCCATATCATCATGGCCTCCTATGTCCCCATATTAACATGGGCTCCTATGTTCCCATATCATCATGGCCTCCTATGTTCCCATATCATCATGGGCTCCTATGTCCCCATATTAACATGGGCTCCTATGTTCCCATATCATCATGGGCTCCTATGTTCCCATATCATCATGGGCTCCTATGTCCCCATATTAACATGGGCTCCTATGTTCCCATATCATCATGGGCTCCTATGTTCCCATATCATCATGGCCTCCTACGTTCCCATATCATCATGGGCTCCTATGTCCCCATATTAACATGGGCTCCTATGTCCCCATATCATCATGGGCTCCTATGTTCCCATATCATCATGGGCTCCTATGTCCCCATATTAACATGGGCTCCTATGTTCCCATATCATCATGGGCTCCTATGTTCCCATATTAACATGGGCTCCTATGTTCCCATATCATCATGGGCTCCTATGTTCCCATATCATCATGGCCTCCTATGTTCCCATATAATCATGGGCTCCTATGTCCCCATATCATCATGGGCTCCTATGTTCCCATATCATCATGGGCTCCTATGTCCCCATATTAACATGGGCTCCTATGTCCCCATATCATCATGGGCTCCTATGTTCCCATATCATCATGGGCTCCTATGTCCCCATATTAACATGGGCTCCTATGTTCCCATATCATCATGGGCTCCTATGTTCCCATATCATCATGGCCTCCTACGTTCCCATATCATCATGGGCTCCTATGTTCCCATATCATCATGGCCTCCTATGTCCCCATATTAACATGGGCTCCTATGTTCCCATATCATCATGGGCTCCTATGTTCCCATATCATCATGGCCTCCTATGTTCCCATATCATCATGGGCTCCTATGTTCCCATATAATCATGGCCTCCTATGTCCCCATATCATCATGGCCTCCTAGGCCTAGCAATAGATATGCTCTAACGGCGGAAAGGGGTTTCTGGGACCTCTCCAGAGGTGATCCTCATCCGCATGGTGGCACTTTGTGTCACTGGGTGTTTATCGCTTGCGTGATTTCCTGGTGGGGCACCTACTTACCTACCTACCTATTCTGGGGAGAACAACAATAAATCCACTGCCTCCCCGGCAAGCATGTCGTAGGTGTGGACTAAGTGGGGACTTTCTTACCAGTCGGAGTACATCTGCCCATCTGCACACAAAAAAGCCAGTAAAAAAGGACGTAATCAGGTCCTGGCACAAAGCCAAAGTGGAAATGGACGAACAGCCAGAACTTTCCGTCGAGGCTTACAGCCGATAAACAAACAAAAAGAAGATATTTGTTAATTTTTTTGGCGTCTTTCAATAATAATGTTATCTTGAAGCTGACACGTACACTAGATGACTTTCAGTTTTCTAAATCCAAAATTGTCAGAAATAATATAAACTATTTTGTTTGCTAAACAAAAGACAGACATACAGGCTAATCATGACAGATATTGTTTGACAAAAACAGTCACAGCAAGGGGAAATCATCAGGTATATTTCAAAGGGAGATAATCTACTTTCCAGGGCAGCCCTGCTTTGTGTAATGAGGCTTGTAATCTGTCTGAGCGCCAGGGACTACTTTATTTTTCAAATGGGTCAAAGAGTGCGGTAATTCTCGGAGAGATTTCTGGTGGCGTAATTCCCACCCACTGAGGACAGCGGGGTTCAATAAGTTAGTTCTTCAACAGAGAGAGAGAGAGAGAGAGAGAGAGAGAGAGAGAGAGAGAGAGAGAGAGAGAGAGAGAGAGAGAGAGAAAGAAAGAGAGAGACAGAGATGAGAAAGAGAAAAGCGAGAGGACAGGAAGACACAGAGTGGGAAAGACAGAGTGAGAGAGAAAGAGAGAGTAAGAAAGAGAGAGAGAGACGGATATATTTTTGAGATGCGCACAGAAAGAGAGACGAGTGACAGACAGAAAAAGACAGACACAGATATAAGACAAAAAGAGTGACAAAGACAGAAATCGAGGGAAAATAGAGAGAGAGAGAGAGAGAGAGAGAGAGAGAGAGAGAGAGAGAGAGAGAGAGAGAGAGAGAGAAATAGATACAAATAAAGAAAGAAAATTTAGATGGCCAGAGAGAGTGACAAAGACAGAAATCGAGGGAAAATAGAGAGAGAGAGAGAGAGAGAGAGAGAGAGAGAGAGAGAGAGAGATACAAATAAAGAAAGAAAATTTAGATAGCCAGAGAGAGAGAGAGAGAGAGAGAAGGAAACAGGAAGAGACATAGGTTAAAAGAGAGACGCAAACTGAAAGACAAAGCAGAGAGAAAGATAAACATAGAAAAAGAGAGACACACAGATATAAAGAACAAAAAGAGAGGGACAGCGAGAAAGATAGAGACATAGGGAAAACAAGACTAACAAACACAGACGTGAAAGAGAGAGAGCGACAGAGAGACGATACAGACAGAGAGACAGAGAATAGAGAGAGAGAGAGAGAGAGAGAGAGAGAGAGAGAGAAAGAGAGAGGGCCATAGGAAAGCATAGAGAGAGAGAGTGTGTGTGTGTGACTCACAGCCAAGAAGAGCGACTGCAGTCAATCTATCAGCCTGTTCATTGCCCCACACACTAAAACACCTCTCATACTTAACAAACCTGAATAGAAACCATATAATACACCGGAAGATAACAGTTGCCGCCTAATTCGAGTACCGATTGGTCTGTACAATGTGACTCTACAGTCGTATGCGATATGAGCCACTGACGTTTGTTTGTTTGTTTTAGTATCCAGAAGCCATGAGTTCTTAACCCTTAGGCTCGGTATTATGGATATCGCATTCCATTTTAAATACCGTCAATCTGGGAGAAATGTGGCTTTCTGCCCACCCCCGGGAGTGAACCCAGACCAGAAGGAGTTCGTCACCCGCTCACCGCGCAATCCGGTTTAGCCAACTACGCTAGAGAGACAGGCAAGCCACTGACGTAGAAGAGGTTCTTTATTTAGATTCTGTTAAGGAAAAAATACACGCTAAATGACTAACTTTTTCACATAGAAAGGGAAAGAGGAAAAATACACGCTAAATGGCTAACTTTTTCACATACAAAGGGGAGACGGAAAAATACCCACCAAATGAGTAACTTTTTCTCACATAAAAGAGAAAAAAGAAAAATACCTGCCAAATGGCTAACTTTTTCACATACTGAGGGGAATAGGAAAAATGCCCACCAAATGACTAACTTTTTCACATACAAAGGGAAAAATGAAAAATACCCACCAAATGACTATCTTTTTTAAATAAAGAGGGCAAACGGAAAAATACCCGCCGAATGACAAACTTTGTCACTTACTAAGATTTTGTAAAGGAAAGATTGTACCCACATTTTTTTTGTTGTTGGCAGGTCTGACAGGGGAGACGAGGTCATTCTTTGAAAACAGCAGGTCAGAACTGATCTACTCCAGAAACGGGGACAGCTGGACTATACAGGTTGGAGTTGTAGGATCTCCACAACGGTCCAGTTATACATTCAAGTTCGGGGAACCATATCAGTCCAACAATATCGATGGCTCTCCTCTAAAGGTGATATTTTTCATGGTCATCATCATTATCATCATCATTGTCGTTATCATCATCATCAACTTCATCGATAATCTTCTGCATCATCACTATCATAGTTGTTGTCGTCGTCATCTTCATCGTCGTCATCATCATGATCATCATCGTTATAGTCATCGTCGTCATCATTATCATCATTATAGTCATCATCATTATCATTATTGTCGTCATCATCATTGTCGTCATCATCATTGTGGTCATCATCGTCGTCATCATCATTATAGTCATCATTCATTGTCATCATTGTCGTCATCATCCTTGTCGTCATCATCATTGTCGTCATCATCATTGCCATCATCATCGTCGTCATTATCGTCGTCATCATCATTATCGTCATGATCATTAACTTCATCGATAATCTTCTGCTCAGTATCCTCATCTTCATCGTCATCATCACCTTTCTGGGCACAATCTTCGTCGAGGTCATCATCATCGTTGTCATGAACATCATCTTCATCAGCATCATCATGTACGTATTCGTCATCATCATCGATATCAAAATCATCGTCGTTATTGTATTACGCTATTGTTATTACGCTCGTGTTTGTATCATTTTCTCTTTTTGTGTTCTAAGTGACCTTGCAAAGATGGCGCTTTTCACATGTTTGTGTACAACGCAAAATGGCCACCCTCAGTTATATTGATGAAGAATACCCACAAGAACAATGGGTCAGAGTCTATACAGATGGGTCCGCAGAAAGTGCAGTTAGAAATGGTGGTGCTGGAGTGTACATCGAATTCCCAGATGGTACTAGGGATAAGTCCAGCCTACCAACCGGGAGAAGTACTGCCATAACTACGATGCAGAAACCCAGGCTATTAAGATAGCTACAGAGAAACTGCTAAATACCAACCTTGGCTCACAGTATGTGGTAATGCTTACAGATGCTAAATCAGTACTTGAAGCACTCCAGTCTAGGAAACTACCAGAATTGCAAACACTGCTGACACAACTTAGCGTTCAGCGAAGAGTCGTAATGCAGTGGATACCGTCTCATTGTGAAGTGCCTGGAAATTAGAAAGCTGATCAACTGGCAGGGGAAGGTGCGAAAAGAGAGCAGCCAGATGTACCAGTCACAGACCACCAAAAGAAAAGAATAATTAAATCGATCAGGAAACCACCAGCCCCAGCACAAGACGACTATTTTATTATGGACAGACCAGAACAAGTCATTATCTTCCGCCTCAGAACAGGGCACAACCGATTACGTAACCACATGTACACAAAATTCAAGATAGGTGTATCAGCCATGTGCACCTGTGGAAATGTGCCACAGACCGCAGAGCATGTACTCCAGGACTGCACCGATTTTGACACATTAAGGCAAACCTTTTGGCCAGAAAGAACAACAGTGGAACGTAAACTCTATGGACCACTGAATGAACTAACAACGACAGTGAAATTTATACAAGAGACAAAACTGCTGATATAGATAACTTATTTCAGGCGAACGAAAGAAGAAGAAGACACATGTTTGTATTTTTTCTTCTAGTGCCCCAATAATTCTCCATGTATGGCACTGATAACAGCAATAATAATGTAATGGGAAAGGTGATGGTTTTTTCAAGGATGATGATGATGATTGTGACGGTGATATTAATCGTGAACAGTTTATTTTGTTAGCTTTCATTTTACTAACTACCACCCAAAAAAAAAAAAAAATTAATAAAAGCAACACATGGTAACACCGCGGTAATAAAAACAAAACACAGTAACATCGCTGTAATAAAAACAACACATGGTAACACCAGGGTAATCAAGACAACACAATGTAACACCAAGGAAAAAAAAACATTGTAACACCACGGTTATAAAAAAACTCTCATGGTAGTCCCACAGTAATAAAAACAACGCATTGTAACGCCAGGGTAATAAAAACAGCACGTGGCAACACCACGGTAATTTTAACAACACATGGTAACACAACGGTAACAACAACAACACATGCTAACACCACGGTAATAAAAACAACACATGGTAACACCACGGTATTAAAAACAATACAGGATAACACTAAGCTAATTATAGCAACACATAGTATCATGAAGATTTAAAAAAAAAAAAAAACGTGCTAACACCACTGTCATAAAAACTACACTTGGTAACACCACGGCAATAAAAACAACACATGGTAACACCACGGCAATGAAACAACACATGGTAACACCACGGCAATAAAACAACACATGGTAACACCACGGCAATAAAACAACACATGGTAACACCGCGGCAATAAAAGCAACATTTGGTAACACCACGGCAATAAAAAGAACACTTGATAATACCACGGCCAAAAACAACAACACATGGTAACACCACAGTAATAAAAACAACACATGGTAACACCACGGCAATAAAACAACACATGGTAACACCACGGCAATAAAACAACACATGGTAACACCGCGGCAATAAAAGCAACATTTGGTAACACCACGGCAATAAAAAGAACACTTGATAATACCACGGCCAAAAACAACAACACATGGTAACACCACAGTAATAAAAACAACACATGGTAACACCACGGCAATAAAAAGAACACTTGGTAACACCACGGCAATAAAAAGAACACTTGGTAACACCACATGTATAAAACAACACATGGTAACACTACGGTAATAAAACCAACACATGGTAACATCACGTTTATACAACAACATATGATAACACCACGGAAATAAAAACAACACATGGTAACACAACGGCAATAAAAACAACACATGGTAACACCACGTGTAGAAAACAACATATGATAACACCACGGTAATAAAACCAACACATGGTAACACCACGGTAATAAAAACAACACATGGTAACACCACAGTAATAAAACCAACTCTTGGTAACACCACAGTAATAAAAACAACACATGGTAACACCACAGTAATACAAACAACACATAGTAACACCACGGTAATAAAAACAACACATGGTAACACCACGGTAATAAAAACAACACATGGTAACACCACAGTAATAAAAACAACACATGGTAACACCACAGTAATAAAACCAACTCATGGTAACACCACAGTAATACAAACAACACATGGTAACACCACATCAATAAAAACAACACATGGTAACAACACGGTAATAAAAACAACACATGGTAAGACCACGTGTATAAAAAGCAACACATGATAACACCGCGGTAATGAAAACAACACATGGTAAAACTAGGGTAATAAAAACAACACCTGGTAATGCCACTGTAATATTAAAAAAACAATACATAGTAACACCACAGTCTGAAAAAAAAAACATGGTAACACCACACTACATCCACAGGGTGTAGTGCGTCAAGAAGGATCCCGACTGGTGGAGCGACATGAGAGCATCGGACCCAACAACTTTGTGATGGACATTGTCCGGGAGGTGCAAGGCGATATCATGAAATCTGTGAGTGACCAATATATTGCATTGTGTTTGTCGTGGGTGAGTGTTTAGTTGTGAAAGTAAAGGTTCTTTTTCCACGCCTTTGAGCGTATAGGGAATATAATGGTAGAGCTATATTTTGATAGACCAATCAGCACAAGATGGGGGATGTGGTCAGCATCACGCCGGTCGCCTTTACTTCCTGGGACTGCATCCGGTACCCACTCAAAGCTGGGTTGACCTATGAGTCAAGGTCATTTTTGAAAAAAGTCCGGCCACGTAACGGCGACTCTCGCAGATCTGAAAAGTTACCCAAAAATACGCGGCCTAAGTACATTTATTTTATGTGTAAGTAAGTAAAGTGAAGTAAAGGACCCTTTCCACACCTTTAGGCGTATAGGGCATATATGGCTAGACCTATATTTTTATAGACCAACGGCACAAGACGGGTGATGTGGTCAGCATCACGCCGGCCGCCTCTACTTCCCGGGATTGCACCCGGTACCCACTCAAGGCTGGGTCGACCTGGGAGCCAAGGTCATTTTTGAAGAAAAGTCCGTCTCCACCAGGGAGCGAACCCACGATCTTCCGATCCGCGGAGCGCGTCTAGCCGCTCTGCCACGGCGACTCCCTTATTTTATGTGAACAGGGTTTTTTTCTGGCTTAGAAAATATCAGTGTAAGTAAAGTAAAGGACCCCTTTCCACGCCTTACAGGCGTTTTGGGTAGATAGGTCTAGACCTATATTTTATAGACCAATCGGCACTTGGTGGGTGATTTGGTCAGTATCGCTCAGGCCGCCTCTACTTGACAGGACGGTTCCTGGTACCCACTCAAGACTGGACGGCCTGGGAGCCAGGATCATTTGTGAAAACCGGCCCCCGTCGGGAACCGATCCACAGACGAGCGTCTAGACGCTAATCCACAGTGGCTGCCCATAAAAATGTCAGTACATTTTTTTTTTCAAATATACTTTCTTCTTCTTCTTCCTCTTCTTCCTCTTTTTCTTTTTCTTCTTTTTCTTTTTCTTGTTCTTCTTTTTCTTTTTCTTCTTCTTCTTTTATTTCTTCTTCTTCTTCTTCCTCTTTTTCTTTTTCTTCTTTTTTTTCTTCTTCTTCTTTTATTTCTTCTTCCTCTTCTTCTTCTTCTTCTTCTTCTTCTTCTTCTTCTTCTTCTTCTTCTTCTTCTTCTTCTTCTTCTTCTTCTTCTTCTTCTTCTTCTTCTTCTTCTTCTTCTTCTTCTTCTTCTTCTTCTTCTTCTTTCTTCTTCTTCTTCTTCTTCTTCTTCTTCTTCTTCTTCTTCTTCTTTCTTCTTCTTCTTCTTCTTCTTCTTCTTCTTCTTCTTCTTCTTCTTCTTCTTCTTCTTCTTCTTCTTCTTCTTCTTCTTCTTCTTCTTCTTCTTCTTCTTCTTCTTCTTCT